ACTTGAATTTTTATTGTTGTATAGGAAGGGCTAGGGAAAAGTGGCTGTGTAGCTCTGTCTTATTTACGTTGATGTTGAAGATTTGGACAAAGATTTAAGGTATTTCTTACTCCATAACAGTGATCTATGACTGTATGAGCTATCTTGGAAAACATGTTTGAGTGCTAGTGCTATCTGAAAGCCCTTGTATATCTTGTTACTTTAGTCACTTACTGTAAAAGTTTGACTTCTGTGTGTAAGTCAGCATGATGAAGTTGATTCTCACAGGTGCAAACTGATCAAAAGGAATAATTTTAGTGTAGATTTCTGCTTCCTGCTGTCTTTTGTTTTAACAGAGCTGGCAAGGACAAAACAAAGGATTCTTCCTGTGTGCATGGGGGTTTCTGACAGGATATTTCCAAACTTCATACCTAGGATGTGCATGTTGCTGAAGCCAGTTGTTTTTTGTTTGCATCTGTTAGCAGGTCAGGCAAAATCTAACATGTTTGTTCTGGGCAGTAATGAAAGCAGGGCCTTTGGGGTGTGCTTGGAGGGGATCCTTTTGTTCTTGAGGTGTGGGTTTATTTTATAATCATTGTTGAAGGAAAAGGGCTAGTTCAGGCAACTTGTCATACTGAACTCTTGGTTGAGCCTGTGATATTTCTGTGGAAACATCTCTGGATAGTCTATTTCAAACACCAGTGTGGTCTGTGCAGTCGTTTTTCATGCAGGCAGATGCTCTTAAGTTTTCAAGTTTAAGAGAAAGATTGCTATGCAGGAATTGATGACTAAAGGATAACCAGTTATCTGCAAAATACTCTTGTGTGGGGGAGAGAGGGAGCTAGTAGGATGTGGCTGTTGGCTTTCCACAAACTGTGGTGCATTTCTGTGTTTTTTATTTTTTTTCTGGTGTTATTTTTCCACTTGTTTAGTGCCTAAAGGAAATCTAGAAAATGTGAAATACAGGCACTGGAGCATGAAGCTTCTCCTCAGGTCTGGATTTTAAAATTTATTAACTTTTGCTCACTAACCATTTCTACAGCATACCCCTAATTCTAGACTTTTTCATGATTGAGATGGAGATACAATATTGGCATTGGAAAATGCCTCAGTCTGTGAATGAGGAACCCCTGTGCACTTAGAAGCCTGGTTACTGTATTACCAGTAAGTGGTGGTGGAGGGAGGCACTGTGAGTGGCCTGATTTGACTGTGGTGGGCTTGGTGCCAGAACAGTCAGGTGTGCTGCATGTTAGTCTCCTGCTGTCCTCCTCTTGAACTGCCCCTGGGACCTCACCTGGCTAGAAATTAGTCTCTGTTCTCAGGTGTGTTCCCTTCATCACTTGTATCTGACACCCTCCCACCTTGTCTGTGCACATTTCCTTTTCCTGTGAGGGTTTTGGAGAATTGGAGCTGACAGGTAGAGTGCCTGTGTGTGAGAACTTCAGACTTGTGCAATACAATTACTTAATATATTGAAATGATTAATACACAACTCTGAACTGAAACAATATGCTAGTCATTCAGGTTGCTGTTTACTATTAGCATATTCTGCATTTTGGCTCCTAATGCACACTCTAATGTATTCTTAATGAAGCAGTTAATTTAATTCGTTTTTTTCCCTTCACCTTTCTTTATTGAAAGTGTTGCTACCACAAGGAGAAAATACGTCGGAGATGCAGAAGCATATATGAGTGCTTTGTTGTGTTCTGTTGTTTTGGTTGTGTTACATTTTTGCCTGCTAGAGGAAATGATTCAAAATCACGGTAAGAAAAGTTTGAAGTCAGAAATGGGGTGAATATTTTCAAATGAGAGCTAATCTGTTCCCATAGCTTACCAGGATTTTGTCAATCCTCTGGTATGAGGAGGTCTTAAACTAGAATATTTTTAGAGATAGTTTGGCTCAATAGCAGATTACTGAGCTCAGTGTTGGAGTATCTGGGTGAACTAGCTGGTGTTATGCATGAGGCCAGACTGGATGCTTACAGTAACTCTGGAATTCGAACTGTGCTCATGTTCACAGATCACTGTCAAATAATGTTGTCTTTGCTGCTAGAATTTTAAGAAACACTTGCAACTGCTGCAAATGATCTCTTCCAAGTGTGCTGGGATTCCAAAACTGTCTGGCTTAACTGGGCATTAACTCCTGAAAAATATGTGTCTCAAATCTTTTACACAGTGATTTTTGTTTCTGTTCTCCAGAGTTGAAACTCTAGCGTGTCTCAAATCTTTTACGCAGTGATTTGTTTCTGTTCTCCAGAGTTGAAACTCTAGGCCTTCTCACTCCAGGCAAATAATTACTAAATACTTAGAACAGTATTTCATGCTTGCTAACCGGAGTTTTTCCTTTGTTCCTGAATAGCAAAAAGAAAAAAAACCCAACCAAACCTACTTGAATTAACATTTTGATGTAAATTCAAAGGTGTTCCTGCTGTTCTAATCCCCACTTGTCAATACTTGATATAGTGTTTCTGAGCTTGGAGTGAGGTGGTGGCAAGTGGATTTGGGTGAGAAATCCTGAGATTGTTGAAACTTCCTGATGCTTCAAGCAACCACTGATGCCTCAAACATTTTAAAAAGGAGTCTTCAGCTTTGGAGAATTAATTAGCCCTCCAAGGCAAGTCTTGTGTGGTATAACTAAAAGACGTGATGAAAGAGCATGTTGTTGTTTTTTTAATTTCCTAAAGTTAATTGCACAATAGGAAGGACTCAGTCAAGCTTGTGCCTGGCTGCTTAGCAAAGAAATCTGCTGCTGAATGATGAGCAGCTTGTGAGGCATTAGCATGTTCATGGAGCAGAACAATATCAGTGATTTTGGCAGTCGGTGCAGCCTCTGCCAATACACACCTAGCAGAAATCCTTGAAGCTGTTGAGAGCAGATAGGCCAAATGTGGTACGAGCACTTCAGTTCTTCTGGAGTTGTTTCTTCATCTTACTACTTCAAGATCTTGCAGGAGCTGCAGAAGTGAAGTAGTCTGGGTCTTAGATGCATACTGGTTCAGTAAAGTGAGCAGTGCAAAGTTCCCTTCCCAGGGCAAAGCTGCAGAGACTGGAATTGGTTTAAGAACTGTGGATCTAATTATGGCCCATTTATTTTGTGCTATTAATGTTCCAAAAACATGTTGGCTTGATTGTTGGCCCACTTACTACTGTGACCATGATCACTGGTCAGATAAACTATATACTCTGAACCTTAATTATTGCTTGTGCCATGGTGGCACCTGACTGGTGCTGGATAGGAAGTATAAAAACTTACTGGTACAAATGATGCAGACTTTTACAGGAGGGTAGGGAAGGAAAAAAAAAGCTTTGTAGTGATAGTGGACTGTGTGGAGTGTTTCATCAATGAGGGTGAAAATCAATGGTGCTACTGACTGAGAAAGGGCCAGCAGTCAAATTTTTCACGGTTGTCCAACAGAACTTATTTTTTGTTGGTTCTATTTCCCTGTAATTTGCTACATGAGGAGTTAGAGTGAGATGTAGATGGTGAAAAGTAAATATTACTCAGAACATGCATTCAAGATCAGATAATACGGGCAGTAAGAAGCAGGGCCTTTCCACTTCTATTAAATATCCTTGGCAATATGTTGGGGAATTGGCTTGCTCTTACTTTGTGTAGAGGAAAATTAAAGTAAATGCTTTATCTTTTCAGTCTGTCTGGTTAAAGCATACAGGGATAATGGAGTCCATACTTTACAGATGAGCAAACATACATTTCAAGTAATTAGGTTTTCAGTTCAGTCTACTGTGGAGTTGCACAGAGATGATAGATGAGCCAAACTTTGACTTAGTATAGGCTTTTTGTTTGTTTGAAGCTTGTAGAAATTGGTAACATTCTGGAAACTATTGCTGATTATGTCTGCATGCTATACTTCCTGGGTTTGGAGGTATATGCATTTGGGGGCAGTGAGTAAAGCAAAACACTTTCGGAATAACTCTTTAATAGGTCAGGGCAAGGGAAATGTGTCAGTATTGAAGCATTTTTTATAAACTGTACCTCTATAATGTGGCTGTGCCACATGATTTCTCTGAGACTCTAAATTCTGGTTACATTACTGATGTATTGCATTATTGTAGGTTAATATTGTGTAAGTCTCTCACTGACTTACTGGTATGACAGTCTTTCCAATTTTGTGCCTGTTCTGGTAGGTACAGCTCTACCAGCATCCTCTACTAACTCACCTTTTCAATTCCAAAATCAACTGACAAAACTTGCAACTTGTTTTTGAGGGGCCTGTTTGAGTGGAGCATCTAAAACTGTTGTAATGAAGATTATTAAAAAAACCAACCAACCACAACCCAAAACAAAACCACCCCAAAACTAATGTGTAAAGCAAACCTGAGACTTCTGGAATCAGCACATTCTGGCTGAAGAAAAAGCTGATTTATCCATGAAGCTAGCTTTTGAAGATAATTATCAGAGTAACAACTGTAGTTATTTCCAAGTGAACTTTGTGTGCTTTTCCAAGTGAGAGGCCTTCTCCGTAGAAGACTTTGGTTGGGTGCCTACTCTGTCCTGGATTTTAGAAAAGGGATGTTTCTATAGGGCAGAGCGAATAGGGTAGTTTGCTGTGTCTAGTTTTCAATGCCTTTGAAAATAAGTTGAGGCATAAGACAGGGAAACTAAGTTTCTTGTCAATGCTGTGGCCTCTTTCTGGGATTGTTGTTCGTATATTTTTAAGTGATTTTAAAGAATAATTATATGAGTATGGGCTTGGCCTGGATTGTGATATGGTAGGTGACCCTTAGTAAACATAATAAGTACTCTTATTACATCCGTTGTGGATAAACAGTCTTGCTCAGGGGTAAAGATGGATTTAAAAGAATTTTTTTGGATCCCTATGCACTGAGGAATATCTGGGGGTGATGGAGGGTGATTGGGAGTTGAAGGGGAGAAAGTACATGAAAGCTATTGTTCAGATGGAACTCAAATATACTTCAGGCTGCCAGCAAAAACTGTTCAGCCTTTAAAAAAAAAGCAGAACTAATTTGAGTAGAAAATCCTCACTGTTTTTTCTCTTAATTTCACAGCTGATTGCAATGCTGTTCTTAAAGCTCTACAGCCCATTTTTCAGGAGCAGGGAATGACAGAAACAGTTTATAACTGGGAAGACCATGGTTATTTAGCAACCTACATCAAAAAAAATGGCAGGTGAGTGGATTTTCCTTCCTCTTGATAATGGTGCCCTCTTTCCTCCCATATGAATAGTTATTTCTCCCTGTATTGGATCTCATTCTGGGGTACAGGGAGGGCAAACTGTTCTTTTACTGGCCTTGTGTATGAAGTGACTAAAATAAAACAGAATACTGTTGATAATCTTTTTGTGTCATTTTGCAGTTTGGATATCAGAACAGTTGAGTTGGTAAACCTGGGCTCTATTAATGCGGTAACATCATATGGTGTCTTGATCTCAGGGCCAGTCCTTCCAAATGCAGGACAGCTCAAGTCGGTTAAATGTATTTGTAATTCTTCTGACAATGGAATATGTTTAAATGTTAAACTAACCTTAGCATGTGAATGATTAAAACTCTCGTATGTGCTTTTAAACACTTTATTATATGCTTCAAATTCTCAAGCAGCTACAGAAGTAACAAACAGTGTGACAAAGGTGTGGTTGGTGTCATTAGTGACACTCATATAAACAGAATCTACTGGGTTAAACTGGTAAGCAAACCCACATTTGCGTTATTTCCCAAAGCTGCTTTTACAGTGTCAGGGTTAGTTAATCACTGTATACATTTTCCTGGCCTATTAGTAACTATTGTAATTTTATTGCACTTCATTTGTTTCCAGTTATTCAGTTGTTTGTTCTTGACATTCATTGTGGTGGTTGCTGCTTTTGTTTGTTGAAATACCTGCATACTTCAGTCATCTTCAGGATTGGAGTTAAGCTAAATAAGCTTTAATTTGTTGGCTCTCTTCCTGGCTGTCCTGTTAAGCAGCTCAGTTGGCCACGCTCCTAACATACATAAGAATTGCCTAAGGATTTTAAAGTTCTATCAGTTTTTTTTATTTTGAAGTTCTCTCTCATTAGAGAACTATATCTAGTAGGAAGATCAGATCCTAGGTGAATGTGTTGCTTGCTGGAATTTGTCTCTGGGTTTACTGTGTGTGAACATATTTGTATGTACAGCTCTGTCTTTGTATTTTTATATATATTATATGAAGTAGTGCAGACCAAGTGGACTGGTGAACTGGGGTCTTGACTTAAGTTAACAAGTATGAGTCTAGTCCTGTCTATAGCTTTCCCAATCATGCTCTTTGAAGTTCTTAGTATATTTCAGTTAGCTTTTCAAATGTGACACTGGCTTTTTCTGACAAATTGTTTCTTTTATACTTGATGTGCCTAGAAAAACTTGTTACTTGTCTCTTGGTTTTGTACAGTCTTCCTTACTCTGTTTTCCTTACTCTGTTTTTAGTTACTTGTGGTTTTGTTTTCTTCCTGAATAATTTGATAGATTCCAGTTCTAGATAACCTTTTGTTTCTGAGGTCAGTGAAAAGATAGCCAAGACAATGGTTTACTACTCTGATGCTATCCTTCCTCTGTATTGGGGTAAGCTTGTATTTAGTTTCACTAAAAAGATAGTATCAAGGATACACAAACTGAACAATCAGAGGGTAGAATATCTAAAATTAAAAGTATTGACAGGATTTGAAGGTTGGCTTTCTGTCATTACATGGCCTCATCTTGCTTCCTGTGTTTTCCTGAGTCTCAAAGTGACATATGAAATGTGAAGTCTCAAACTGGCTTTCCCCTTTGCAATCTCATCCGATTGCTCCCATAAGAAGACAGCTTCTTCTAAAGGAGCAGTTTCCACAGCTAAATTACTTGTCCTTTGAAATGTTCCAGGAACTTTCTGGAAAACTGTCTTCTGTTGTATAACTCTTCCAGGAGATAACTGAACTGGCACCTAGAAGCCAGGGAATACTGAGTTTCAGGAAAAAGTGTGAACTTAAAGATGCTCTAAATACTGAGGTGTCCATGTAAGACATGACTGCACTTTCTACTACTGTAGCACCATTTTTGCCTTTTCTGATTGACTTTCTCTGTCACTCTCCATTTGATGTGTTTTAAGCCAGATGTTGAAGTCTTCCTTTCTCCCTGTAAGTGCAGGTGCCACAACCTTGCTTTTCCTTGTTCCCTATTGTACTGTGCTTCACAGTCTGTCACTAATCCAAGCATGAATGTGGTCACTTAAATTTTGACAGTTACGCTTGGTTTTAATACCAAATTACCATTGTCAGCTTAATCCTAAATTGTGTAGAAGTTAGTTCAAAATTACTTTTTCTAGTGAAGACTTTTAACCCTTATGAAATTCTCAGTTCTGATATACAGGTCTGGAAACTTGAGCTTCTAAGAGAAGCTATCAAGGAGAGCATCCTAAACATAATAAGGAATTACAGTTTGTGAAGCAGCCTCAAAACTGAATAATGAAGAACGAGAATGCACAGAAGAACTGAGTATTAAGAGGGCATCACTTGCTTTGCAAGTGGCTATTTTTTTTCCTGGTGCAATGTTAAATGTAAATAAAGAATGGTTATTGCTTGCTCTTGGTATATTCATTGCCATCTGAACTGGATTTATTTCTGCTGGAAATGACTCACTTCACTAGTCAACTTACTGTCTATAGTGGTGTGAGTTAAAGTACTTTTCTGTGCTTTCCCAGCCCCATTAAACACTGAATTGGGAAGCATGTGCAGTAGAACTTTCTGTGAGTTTTGGTACCTCAGCAGATCTGTTTTGAGTTTTCAGATGACCTAAACTGCATGTACTTTTTTTAAGGCAGTCTTCAGTATATTTCTATTAATGTCTGATGTAATGTCAGTTAACTGAAACAAATAAGGGTGTGAACACTTAAACCAATAGACTGAGCAGTTGAAGCCCTGCAAAACAGCAACAAACATTTCATGAGTTAGGAATGAACTAGTGAATGTACACAGTATTTGATACTATCAAATAGGCTTTATTTTAATACTAGCAATCTTATGTCTGCATTTTGAGACCTAAATATCGTAAAATTTCTATGCTAATTAAGAAAAGTATCTGACACAACTAGGAAGAAATTAGTTAGGGCATGTGGACTTTTTCTGCAAGTGTACTTCTGGAAGTAAAGTAGCTTGTAGTGAACAGCAGGGAAAAAAAAATTGTGGTGGAGTGTAGGTATGTCATGAGCAGTTTCCTGTAAGGATGGCTCGGTGTTACTGGGAACAAAAGTTCTCCATGATGAAAGATGCATGAGTTGGTGCTGCATGTGAGTAGGGGTTTTGTGAGTATGCACATACAAACACATTTTTAACCAGCTAAAGGTGACAGCCATTGCAAGACAAAGATGTGCAGCTGATGTTACAAGCTGGCTAATAATCCCAGGAAAAAAACCCTTTGAGATAAGGTGGTAGTATGTTGCTAAACAGTATAGATATTCTAAAGTCGAAGAGATAGCCCCTGTAGCTTGCACGGTGCCCTGTGCTACAGATTATTGAATTGTGGGCACTATTGTTGACAAAACTGTCTCTGACAAAGATACTGTGTGAACAGCACTGTGGAGGGCTGTGGCTGTTAAACGAATCGGGGCTGATTTGGGGATTAAGTATGCTTTCCTGTTGTCATTATCAAAGCAACAGATCCCCATTCTCCTTTGTCTGAAGCTAAGCAAACAAAAGTCACAGGTGGCAACTTTACCTGGTCCGTTTAGTTTGTGATTTACTCTGACAAAGGACCTAATTGAGGGAAGTTCAGCTGAAAACATTTACTAATGGGGCTGTCAACACAAGGCTCTAGAGCTGGTCAGGAAATGGCTCACTTTAGCCACTCAAGTCCCTCTCTGTAGTCGTGGGGATGGATACACTTTTCTGCTTTGCCAGTGCCTTTGCTGGTTGGAGAACAGTAACACATGCATTAGAGGAGCTCAGTCTGAGTTCTGGGGCCCAGCAGTCTTGTTTTCATGATCTATGTGTTTTCAGATAACTTCCAGAATGTTTTCAGGGTCACCTTAAGCAGCATTCTTGTACTGGTGTCACTTACTTTAGCTTAGACTGAGCAAAAATGCTAGGAATGTGAAGTCTTTATTTACTGTATTTTAAAAAATGTTATTAAATAAGGAATCATAGAATCACAAAATGATACCTTAAACATCATCTAGTCCAACCCCCTGCCATGGGCAGGGACACCTTCCACCAGACC